TTATGATCTTAAAATAATTTTGCCTTGAATCACACTTGATGATGAGGGGTCTTTGGAGCTTGAGAATGCCACAAAGGCAAGGAGAAAACATTGATTGAGGTTGAAGAAACATGTTCCTCTTTCTTGAGAAATAAACCATGATACCTTGATCCCTTGTCTTAGAACAATGTTATGCAAAAATGAGAATGAAAATGCAATGAAACATAAGTCAAAACACAATAGGAGATATTGGCAAATTTTAGGGTGTTACACCTTCAACGTGTAATACCCTAATTTTTACCCCTAAGATCCCACGTATCATTTGCATCTCATTCCACAAACAAGATTGCAAGATTTGGTTCTCTTGCCTTCCTCTGTGTGTTTGTTCTTGAGAGAGATCATCGGGTGCTTCTGTTTTCTTGTTTGTTTAATATTTTTTTAGGTTTATGTTTACTAACCATTAATTAAAATCCAAAAAATGTTTATTTTTCCTTTACTAACTTTTTTAGGAAGAATTTGGATCAAAGATATAAAATACCAGTCCCTCGGCTAGAACGAATTTCATCTGAACAAAGTTAAAGTTGATCTGCAAACAATTTAAAATCATCTGATCAAGGGTTTCCAAGATTTAGTAGATAATTATTTAAGAGACTCTAAAGTTCATGTGTTTATTTCCATGCCTTCCTTGACAAGCAAAAAGAATTGAGCCAGAGCCAAGACAACACATTAAAAAGCACTTTTTTCAAAATTTTTGCATGTGGTAATCAATTACCAGTATTAGGGTAATCGATTCCCCTGTGCATTTTTTGTAAAAATCTGTCAAATTCAAATTATGCAGCATTTTTGGCACTAAATTCAAATATTTCATCATGAGAATATTCTAGATCACTTCATTTTAATTCCTCTACCTCATCATAATTAATTCCCACCATACACCTTCACTTATCACCATTTGATCTTGATTTTGCCTCCAAATTCAAATTTCAAGCCTAATTTTGGTTCCAAACCAAACTCCAAACCACCAAAATTTCCAAGCCTAAATCCTATAAATAGAGGTCTCAATTCATTCATTTCACAAGCTTTTGATAGCCAAATTCCTTCTCTACTCTTCAATTTTCTCCAACTACCAAATTCACCAAAGCTATTTTTTCCTTTGAAAGTTAGTAAGTTCATCATTAGAGCTTACTAATATCTGAGCTAAACCTTCATCCATTCACTTTTTCATCATCAATTCATGTAGATCAAGGCTTTGGAGTGTAGTTTTTGGAGTTGATTTGAAGAATTTTCATATTTGAAGTGGTAAACTCTTGATCCATTATTGTTGTTCTTGATACATCCTTCACAATATGATCTATTGTTGATTCTTGTTGCTTGATCTTTGGATCTTGCAAATTGTGTTCCATTGGTATTGTTTGTTGTTATTTTACTTGAATTTTTGTGCTCAATTGCATCCTTGATCATGAGGTGTTTGAGGAAATGATTGATCAAGTATTTTCAAAGTTGTTTTGCTGTTGTTTTAGCAGTGGTAATCGATTACCTGCATTATGATAATCAATTACACATTGTTTATTTTGCCTTTTTGGCTTTGTTTTGGGACTTTTTTTTGGCTCTTTCTTCTTCTTCTTCCATTTCTCTTTGACTTTTCTTTGGATTACACTTTTAAAGGTCCTTTTCCTCTTTAAATTCATTGGACTTAGGGTGTAGATGAAGTTAGATAAACATTCACTAATTCAAATTTATCTTTAAAGTGGATTATTCAATTCATTTTAGGTGCTTTGATTTAATGATATGTTTAGTGTTTTAATCCACCAAGATGAGTGGATAGACTTAAAGATGGAATGATCTTGAAATTGTAATTCAATTTGACTTTCCTTCTCCTCTTCTCTTTTTTCTTTTGATCAATAAAAATTTTCGATATCATTGGAACTTATTTTAAGTTCTTGATGAAGATGAGATTGTTACCACTTTTCTTTTTGTGCGGTATTGCTTTCGGATAGTGATCTACATATCACTTTTCTAGCATGCATTAATACTAACATTGTTATTGACCAGCCTCAGATAGTCGTGGTTTCTACATAAACCTGATTACGATTACTTAACATAGCGCTAAATTATCTCGTATCAGAAAATGATCATTCATGGCTCAAACTTATGTTTGAAAGTCCAAGTATGATTGATTATTTGCCTTAGGTCTATTACCTATGAAACTTATTGTTATGGGGCTTTGATTTATCAATCCTCCAATGAGTCTTCATTAACTTTGGCCTAAGTGTATTATTTAACCATCGTTGATCATTTGCTCTAACAACTAATTACTAACTCACTAACAATATTATTATACTAATTTTGTTTATGTTTCATTCACGCTCCCTATCTCTTTTTTTTATACTCCATTATTATCATCTCATATCATATTATTGTTTGTGCTTCCGCTCTCTTTTTTATTTTGTCCACTTGGATCATATCTTGTTCAAAATACTAATAAAGGATTAAACCTCTAAAAAACTTGGTGCTCTTAATTTTGTGGTTATGCTCATGGATGAACTTAGACCTTGGACCTCTTGAATTATTCTTGGACCATTGGACTTAGAATTAGGTCTCTTTCCCTATGCTTGGAGTATTATGGATCTTTGCCTTTATTTGGCTTACTCATTTGCTTATGCTTCAAGATGGATGAAATTTTTATTTCGCTTGCTATGAAGTGTGCTACAATTCGGTTAGATCTTTCTTATCACTATTTTTTTTTACATTATGCATTAGGATAGTCGCCTCATCTCCTTCCCTTCTTTAATTTTCAAAATCTTCTCCCTTTTTTCAAAAACCTTCTTATTTTCAAACTTCAAACCGCTTTCATAATAAAACATTGACTTTTGTCAAGTGATTTTTCAAACTTTATTTTCTTTAATAAATATCAATCAATGTTAATCATACTTTGACTTTTTCAAAAAGACATAAAAAAATATAAAAACTCATTCACTCTTTTTTTTGTCTTTGTGCATTTTTTCTTTTAAAAACTTTTTCATAAGTTTAGACATGATTCATCTCTTTAAGTGGAATTACTCACTTGGAAATGACGACTTGTCTTTACATTTAAAATTAATGATAACAAACCTCTTTTTGTTATTTGTACCACCCGCTACGGGGTTTTGATCCTATATTGCACTTTGTGGGTACGTAGGCATGAGGCGATAAGTCACTCCAAACACAAAAGTCTTAAAAAATAATTCTTTTCTCATCTCCCAAATATCCTTTCAAGTAAACCATTTCAAACAAAAAAGCATAGATATTTCAAAGGGCTCATATATAGTACTATAGATGTTTTTGGTGCTAACACCTTTCCATCGCGTAACCAACTCCTTTACTCGTTCTCGGTCTATTCTTGTTTTAAAACTCTTTAGATTTTGTTCACTCTTTTTCCTTTCCTTTTGGATAAAATAAAACTGTGGTGGCGACTCTTGCATTTTTAGTTAAGTTAATCAATAACTTACACTCACAAATTTCCCTGCTACACAGCGTAGCTTCAGTCACTCTCAACTATGGTACTATGTGCCTTATTTAGTAATAGATGACTCTCAAAATCATCAAACATGTCATTTATTTGTCTATGTGTTTGTGCCTCATTTTCGAAGATGAAATAAAAAGGACAAAGAAACATTCAAAGACCGATAATTATTATCATCAGTAGTGTGACACTGTCTATGAATCGGGTACCTCAGACGCATGAATATGGAAAACCCAGAACCTTCGAAAGGATGAAGGAAGTGATGTGTTAGACGGTGAATCTCATCACTTATAGGAAGAAGAAGATAGAATGACATAAGGAGAAGCGCGAACTCCAAAAGTAGATGACTCTGCATGGGCAAAGGGATCATGAGCCTCCATAACCTACTGACTCTTCTCCTCCTACACTAATGCGTGCTGAGCAATCCTCTTGTGTCTCAGTCTATCGTGTCTATTAGTCGTTATGTCTGTAAGTTAAAGTAAAGCAGATAATTAGTGCAGACAAACAACACCACAATCAAGAAAATCAAAAAAATACTAAGAAAATTTCGAAGATGCATCTCCGAAATCTAGAAAACTAAAACGCTGAAAAATTCTGGAGATGCATCTCTGAAATTTTCTGCAACTCAGAAGTTGCATCAATGTATCTCATGCAATAAAAAAAACATGCTTTGATCATCCTTTTCAACCAACAAACGTCTAATACACTATATTTAAACTATCACAAATGCAATTTCTACTTATTTTCAACCACAATAATTGATTTCTACTTACAAGAAGTTGATGATTCTGATATTATTTCTGATGTTACAAATGTTGATTTAAGTTCCTTTAAGCTCTATTGATTGAGTTTTGATTTGGTGAAGAGAAAAAAGTTATGATCGTTTGAAGTTGATTTTAAACAAAATAAAAAATAAAAAATATATCTGATGCGATTTAACCTCCAAATTATTTCAAAAATATATCTACAAAATAATTTAAAATTAATTGAATTTTTTTGTTAGTCTGAAAATGCATATTTAAAATTTAGGGATATTTATTGTGACGGTTAAAAAAAAGTTAAAAAGAATGTATTAAAAAATCTTTCTTTTGTTTCCTCTATTGATTCCGTGTGAATTTGGTGAAGGGGAAAGTTAGGTGCTAGTATTTCTGTTTTTGGTTTCATTTGAGCTCCAAAAAGCAACCGCACCATAGTTTTAAGTGCTCGACACGTGAGAATTCTTTGGTTTTCATTGGCGAAGACACGTGTGAAACCACGCGAAACACGCACTACACTAACGGCTTTTCTTAGCCGCGTTACCGCTTCTACTCTTAGCGTGCGCCTTCCACTGTGCACACGCCGGCATAGATTCCACCTTGATCGATCCGATCGGAGAAACCCTAGTTTTTTGCGGTGCCGTCACTTTCACTTCAAATCTCAATACCGATCGTAAATTCTGAGATTCGGTGAATGATAATCACGTTATGATCTTCGAATCTTAGAAAGGTAGAGTGGATTCGAGACTGTAACGAAGAAGAAGATGCAGAGACGAAGTCCTCCCAAGCATAGACACGATGGGACTTCGCCGCTGCCTCTTGGCATGGATTGGAGTCCTGCTCCTCGAAAATGGGTTAGTTTCTTGATGTTCTTGTGTAAATATTATGGTTAATTACCAGTGTTCTGTAAATTGATATCATCGTGAATTGATTGATGCGTATGATCGTGACGAACTGTGATTTGTGAGCATCGTTATTGTGAATTTGGTTTAGTGTATGGATGTCAGTGTAATTGCAGGGGAACCTAGGGTATAGTTGCTTTTTGCTTAATTGGAGACCATCTTGTTCCGGAAGAAGTTGATGATTGGACTTGCCTATTTTGTTCCAGTTTTCTGAGTCTTGATTTTCTTTATGCTAGCTATATTCATCAGTTGTAGTGTTTCTTTCTGTATATGTAATTTGTAGTCATTCTGTACTGGGTATGTTAGGACTGTCGGTTTTCAAATGGAAATTCACACTTTTTCAAGTGGAAACCAAGCATGCACCATTCCTCGGTTACATTAGAAGAGTTCAACATTAAACAAGTTAAATTGCGTTGACATTTGAGTACTTCTTCTTATATAAATGTTTCTAAAATTGAAATCATTTTTCTTACGCAATGTGTTTGATGATTGGCAATGAGAGAGAGGGAAGGGAAGTGGAAAGTGACTCAAACTCTTGTTTGGTAGTTTTTAATCTGTGGAAAGTGAAGGTTGAATCAAATATTTTAGAAAATAAAGTGACTCAAACTCTTGTTTGGTAGTTTTTAATCTGTGGAAAGTGAAGGTTGAATCAAATATTTTACAAAATAATGCCATTTGATAATGGTATAAGTAGTATGCTAGCATTCTGTTAAAGTTATGAAATACTTTCAAAGATGAAAGATTGTTGAAAACTCTTGACATTATTCTTTGTGTGATTAGTCAGAGGTGCAGAGAAAACTAAGCATAGATTCTAAGGCTTGTCACAGGCATTTACTTTAAAGGGCATTGTTGGCCCCCTTTTTTAGTTAGCTCTTGATGTCTGCTAGTTCTTTATCTCACAATGATGACATGGGCAGTTGTTTGAAAACATTTGTAAATTCCTTTTTTCCTCCTTTAAATTTTGTACATAATCATCTTCAATCTTCATTGTCTATATAAACATGTCATTTAAGAAATGTTGTACTTTCTGGTATTCTAAGCTAATTTATCCCCCCCTTTTCTATTATACAGAATGGACGGGAAACAGAATGGCCACACAATCATCGTACTGGTTGGAGTTATTGCGTCATAATACCTTCTTGGGTCTTCGTGCCAAAATCAAGGAATTCAGATCCTATAGTGGTAAAGTTGATCAATATCCAAATTTCTATTCATGGCTAGTTTAGGTATAATTTTGCACCACTTTTCGGGTTTGGGTTTGTTAGGACAACAAGTATACAAACACCTTGAAATGATCATATGCTCAGTGTTAAAGTTTTGTTTCATTCAGCTGTTTGAATTGTAAAAATTGAGGGGGTGAATGTAATGCAGGGATTAATCTCGTCTTTTTAAAATGAGGTAATTCACATCCATTCTGAACTCTTAAACATAACCATATCTTTAGACCAACATTCCTGATAATAGTAGTATCTATATGCTGCTAAATTTAAAAGACACTTCCACAGGGTTATTTTTGCTCTCTTATTCTTGTACATATCCTAACTACATTAACTATCCAGAGGTATATGACTATTCTTATCTATGTAAATACTTTCCAATACAAGGGCATTGCTAGTATATTTGTCTACCCATGCCAATGGTTAATTATGTAATGGCGCCACTATTATTTTCACAATATTACACACATTCAGTTTAGTTGTCTGTATCATTTGTTGTTATGGTTGTGTTGTGAATCCCTAGCTTGCTTTATCCTTTAATCAGTTTAGTTGTACACATTCACTTCTAAATGTTAAAGGGACAGTTTTACCTAATGGCCCTTCCTGCTGGGTTTATTTTTTATGGAACCATCTTGTGCTACACTTTTCACCGCGTTATTCTCTATTCCAGTCACTCTGCTCCCAATAGTTGTTTCTTTCTGTTATTGGTGTAAAGTATAGTATTTAGTTTTATATGTCAAATAGTGGGACCAAATGCTATTATGTAGAGTTTGATAGTCATAGGTATAACTGACGAAGTGTTTGAGTTCTATAAATGTGATTGCAAAGTCAAATCAGTATGCATGTCTGAATTAGTTAATATAGGTGGCTTAGGCATTAATCTTTTATAGGTTTTCCACTATTCATTCAATTATAGTATGTTGTGGAATAGAAGCTTCTTTGTTTTAGTTTTCATTTTAACATCATTAAGGGACAGTTCTACAGGCTTCAAGTTGGTATACAATCACCAGAAGGGATTACAAATATCCACGGAGTACTAAGAAGGTTCAATGATTTTATAAAGTTCTATGTTGATGTAAGTTTATCATTTTCAACTGTGTTTTGATTTTCACATATTACTTCTACTTTGGCTGTGATTTTGACTACTGAAGCATTATATCATTACATGGGCGTGCATATACACACAGATGTATATTGATTGAAACCCAATTTAGTGTTTTTAACCACTAGTTTATATTCCTCCGCAAAACTATTTAATTTTATTGTAAACTTGACAGTAATAAAAGATAGAAAAAAATACTTCAATGAACAACATATAAGTTATCCAATACTCTCATTCATTTCTACTGCCTTTAAAATCAATGAAGGATGTATCACCATTTTAGTAAACTAGAAGCACTTTTACTGTCTTTTAAATGATTAAACCTAGTTTAACAAATCTGCATATGGCTCACTTTCTTACTTCTTAGGAATTGTCAATAAGAATTCAAAGAATAATTATTGCTCATGAGTAGTATGTTCTGTCCAAAAACATATCAATGTAGTTTAGAAGTTTCAAAACAGGAAATCTTTAGAAAACTGATACCAAAGATTTCGATTTCGATCTAAACCAGATGTCGCAAAAACCCAAATTAACTTTTGAGGTGGAAAATAGACAAGGATATGGAGCTTTGGAAATAGTGTGCCTTATAATCAATGATTAGAACGATCTCATAATACATATGCACAACAACATGAGGGAAGCCAGCATTTTTTGAACCAATGCTAAATAGGTAAGAGAGTCTTCTACGGGAAAATATAATTTCTTTCGAGTGTGTATTAGTTCCGAGGAGAAAACAACATTAGTCATTAATGATAAAAGAATCAATGCTTTATTAATAAAGGGTTTAACAAGCACACTGTATGACCTACATGTAGAGGTAGATAAATATCATACGTATGACATGTCTGTGCTTGTTTTGATTACAATGATTTGTTGACTATTTGACCACATATTGTCTATGTAGCTTAAAAAGGAGTTCCCCGGGAAAAATATCCCTCCAGCGCCACCCAAGGGACTCTTGCGATTGAAAAGTCGAGCTTTGTTGGAAGAGGTTAGAAATTTCTTAAACTTGTTACAGTACCAATGTTGAATGTTTGGGATTATGGATCTGCATATGGTCTTGCTTGAATTTAATTAGTTTATATGAACATACTTGGTGTAAATGCACCTCAAGTCTCATCTGAAAATGCTCTTAGATTTTTGTTAAACATCGCGCTCTTACAATCCAAATATCAGTTAAGATCTGTTCAATCAAGATGAAATCCATATTTACTATTTACCAAAATGATTGAAAACTCACACAATTTGCTGGTTCCCATAGAGAACAGTGAATTGATTTGCGAGTACTGGGTCACAGTATTTTTGTGAATTGGTAAGTTCAAATTCACGAAGAATTCCTAGAAAATGACATGCCAAAGTACCATCCTTAATAAAGTTTGAACCTCTAAACAGAGCCAGAGATTTGTTTTTCACTTCAATAAAGTGATAAATCCTGGGCGCTACCCACTCAAAGCTTCTTTGTGGGCTGTATTACTGAACTTAGCACTGCAAAGTGTATTTATAGGTGACTTTGTATTTCAAGCTATGCAAAGTTCTGATCTCTTAGTATTTTTCATCAAATGTACTATATTGCCTATGCCTATCTCTCCTGGTTAGCCACATTTTTATGTGGGTATGAGCCATGGACCAAGTGAAATATATTTTTGTTAATATCAATAGTTTATATTCCATATATATAATTATTTTTAACCAAATAAATACCGTAGCTAATTGCAATCCATATGACTATGATTGAAACATTAGTAATAAACATAAGAATATTTCTTCTCGTGCTTTTGTTTTTATTTATGTAAATAATAATTCATCCCAGAGCTTGTAAATTTTTTCACTGAAGCCTGTCATTAACTTTCTCTGACTTTCTAAATGTCCTCTTCGACCTAATCACAAGATCCAACAAGTTTTGGTAGAACTGTGGCTATGTTAACTTTTCACCATAATTTCTATTTAAGTAAATAATAAGTAACTTTCTAAAATTATTGGACACCCCGAATATGACCCCGACACTGACACGGCAACACCGATAATAAATTGAAAAAATAATATATTTAACGTAATCACAAGTGTCGGTGCAGGTGTCTGATACCGACACGGACACGGACACAGACTTGACTTTTTTTAGAGGTGTTGGTGCTACTTGTAATAAATGTCCATATTGGATAATGATACTAATTATACTGGTAGAGTTTGGGGACATTAAAAAGGTAGATGGAAAACTACCTCCTTGCTCTCATTATTATGTATAGATAAAGAATATTATAAATTATTTAATAAGAAATTACTCTTTTGTAGCGAGGTTCTTAATATTCTTAGCTAAGAACGTCTAACTGAATCTTCAACGAGGTTGTTTGTGTGTAATATACATGTAATCTATATTATTTTGTACAACATGACAAGTGGCTCCATCTAATCAGACTGTGCCTCGTGTACACTAATGTCAATACAGGAGATGAATAGGCAGTTTTAGAGTTTAACACATTTATTTCTGCTACAGAGAAGGCGCTCTTTGGAGGAGTGGATCACCAAATTATTGTCTGACATTGATATCTCAAGATGTGCTCCTGTTGCATCATTTCTTGAGCTAGAAACTGCTGCTAGATCTTGTATGTGATTTTGTTGCTTTGTCCTTGCTGATTGATTGTCAGCTTTCTTGAGCTTTTTATAATGTTTACCTCATGTAATCACATGTCAGCATTTCAAGATGCAAGCCAGCAGAATTCAGTAACAGATCCTGATTCTAATAACAGAGATTATTCGGTGCAACCATCTCTTCTTTCGAGCTTATCATTAGCTGCTGGAAGTTCATCTGTTGCGTCAGATTATGGTAGTGATACTCCATATGATGTATCGGAAGTAGGAACTCCGAGAATTGGACGGGATGATAATTCTGAAGTTGGGACAGATGATCTGACATTAGATGAAGATATGACGAACCCAATAGAAAGGCTTGTAAAATATGGCATATCAAATATTGATGAGGGTTTGTTTATGGGTCAGACTATTCTAGAGCAATTAGAAGGACTTCCTAGGCATAAAGTAAATGCCAGACATATGAACAATGTTACAGGGAAGGACAGAAGTAATGGTAATTCATATGATTCTTCACTTCTATCTAATAATACCATGGAACGTTTCTCTGAGCCCGGACATGCTAAAGCTTTTGGTCACATTCGTAAGCTTTCAAATGAGAGTGTTGGAAGTGATGGAAGCTCAATACGAGGTAGTGACATGTCTAATTTTGGGATACCAAATTCATCTGGTGATGGCTCTGTTGACCTTCCTGGATGTGTCTCAGTTTCAAGAGAAGCAGATATTGCGAGCCACAAGTTGAAGTCTACCGGCGATGCTCAATTAGTCCTTCCGCTAGATCAACGAAATAAACTGAACAGGATTCTTTCAACCATGCAGAGAAGGCTAGTCACAGCAAAAACTGATATGGAGGACCTTATAGTTAGATTAAATCAAGAAATAGCAGCAAAGGATTTTCTTACAACAAAGGTATACCATATGTGATTCGACATGCATTTCATTCTAAATTAATTTATTTTTAGCTTTCTTGTACCGGAAATTGGCCAGACACTACTTGAATAAATGTCTATAATCTATGGAAACCCAGTTTTCTTATGTTCCACAACATGCATACAAACTTCGACATTTATATATACTTTGTCCATAATTGAGTGAATCTGTTCAGGTTAAGGATGTGGAAGTTGAACTTGAAACTACCAAACAAAAAAATAAGGAGAACTTGCAGCAGGCTATTATGATCGAGAGGGAAAGATTTACCCAAATGCAGTGGGATATGGAGGAACTTAGACGAAAGTCACTGGAAATGGAGATGAAACTTAAGTCTGAATCAGTATGGCATTCTTATATTTGCTTGACATTTTTCGAACATTCTTTCTTAAAGACTAATTGTTAATTTCAAAAATTGCTCATCTGTCATACTCATACGTGATACCAGGATGGAAATGCTGGTCAGAATTTGACAAAATCAATTGTCCATCAGAACGATGTGCTGTTGCAGGATTTAAATGCTGCTAGAGAGCAGCTGGAAATTTTGTCAAAACAGTATGTAGAGCTAGAAGCAAAATCCAAAGCAGATATTAAAGTTCTGGTTAAAGAGGTCAAGTCTCTCCGTAGTTCCCAAACCGAATTGAAGAAGGAGCTTAGTGAGTCCATAAAGGAGAAACGTGAAGCGGAGGTAGGCTCTGCACATATGTTTCACAAGTTCTTCCTCTTGACAGTTAATACAAAAAATGTGTTTGTTTTATATAAATAGAAAACATATAAAGTCTATTTTCAAATGGCAATTACTTCCTCACTATCTTACAAGAATATTGGTTGTTTGATTTGTGAGCTCAAATCAAGTTATAGACCCATAACGCATGACTTATATGTTGATGATATGCTTGTGTTTCTCGTGTATTCAGAAACTACTACTTCATGAAAGAGAGAAAAGGGAACAAGCAGAAATAGCTTCTAGAGAATTGCTTGAGAAATGTGGCCTTCTTTTTAAGAAGCTTCAAGAGTGCAATGTTGATCTTCCTTACAATGATGAGGATAGGACAGTCTTGCATTCATCAACATCAACTGATGCTTTTAATCTATTAAAGACATCTGATGACCAAATCGACATCCTACTAGCAGAGGTACAAGTTATCTTTTTCCTGTGGCTTTCTATGCTTTAACCAGTTGCAGGGTTGAGCAGTAACTACTAGGTTTAGTACTCTGCTCATTTTAATGTAACAATTTCTATCTTGCAAATCAGGTAGAAAATTTAGAGAAGGACTATGGAAATGCGGCTTTTATTGTAGATAAAAGTAATGACATACAAGATGGTGTAATCTGTGGTGATGAAATGAGAAAGATCATAGCAGAGTTGTTCGTCGATAATGTTAGATTGAGAAAACAAACAAACAAGATTACCAGGCATGCTCTCAAATTGGATATGACAACAAGTGATGATTCTCCTTCAAATGTAACAAATAGTTAGAAATATATGGGAAGTGGTATTATATATTGTTCTTCCACTTTTGACTTAGATCCCACCGTTTCCCATCCCGGGATATGGGTTAATCGTATACTGAATACAGTCGCTCCCCGGTGTACTTATCCCTGTACGAGTTTTAATTTGCACACATATACAAAAGCCTTTGCATTGCACCTTTATTGTGTGAACTTAAACATACAATAATGAAAAGTTGGATCCTCATCAAAGACAATAAAATCATGTTTGCTCTCCCTTCCCCCTCTGTTTATGTCAACTGAAAAGACATCGCATCACTGATTATGGAAAGACAATAGTAAAAGTGTTATTCGCTATTAATATACTTGGTGATTCAAATGCTGTCTCTTTTAGGAAGAAGACTTGATTTTTAATGCTACAAATATATTGTATTTATTCCTTACTACTTGCAATAGATTATTTTTCAAAATAATTCTACTTATAATAATTAAGATTTGAATTAAAAAATCTCTTCATATCTTAATTTCTATCACAAGTTCAAGAAATAAATATAATTTCTGATAAAATCAATCACTTAGATGTTTGTTGAAGCTTGTTAACAATACTGGAATATTAGAAACATTGATAGCTAAATGAGGCCTTAAATTGATGTTATTAATTAAATGCCAGAAAAATCAATCTCTTAATGTTTGTTCAAACTTGTTAACCATACATGATATCCTAACATGTACAAGATCAAGATACGAAGAGGACAATTTTGAGGATGATATTTTGCAGGACACCACTCCACAGGCAAAAAGATTTGATCACTTTTGTATTTCAATCACATCTGCATGAATAAACAAAACATTTAGAAGGAATGCACTACTATCAAAATGGTAAAAATACTGTGGAACAAACAAACTAGATTACACGATGCTTAGGTTTTTCCATTGGTTTGGTCCTCACATAGATCAAAAGAATCAAAACCTAGAGACGTGTCTTTATTTGCTTCTTTTGTTTTTGGCAATGTCTTAAAAGCACTAGCACAAAAGGTGCTAGGAGTCAAAACCCATTATAAAAAAAAGCTGATTTTGAAATCTATTTTGAGATGATGAAGCAAAATGAAAAAAGAGTCACACCAAAGAAACAAAAATGTACTATTGAAATTCCCATTTAAGGAAAAATAATAGTGTACCTCAAAAACATTGATCTACTTGACGTGGCTCCACAAGGACATAAAGTGGCTTTCCAAGAAGTTTGCACCGTCCCTGAAAAATTAGGCCTCATTACATTTCATTTCCATCATCATTTCAAACAAATCAATCTAGAAGTTTGAAGTTTTCTTTATTTTTTGTATAAAAAGTTGGATTTTTAGTCATCACCTTAACCTCAGGCACAACAATTACACAAGCACATTGGTGTGCCTCATTTCAAACAAATCAATCTAGAAGTTTGAAGTTTTCTTTATTTTTTGTATAAAAAGTTGGATTTTTAGTCATTACCTTAACCTCAGGCACACCAATTACACAAGCACATTCCACTACTTCAGCACCAGCACGTTCTACAGAATAAGTGGAAAAACCACAAAGTACATTAGTGTGACCAAAACCAGATACATTGAACAATTATAAGACAAATAATGAAGCATGGAAAAGAATATTGACAAAAAACAGTAAAATTCACACCTAAAAGTCTTATTCCTGCTGACAAAGTTCCACCTGTTGCAACCAAATCATCGATAACTATAGCGCGTTCACCGGTTTCGACAGCGCCAACGTGCATTTCCAGACAATCAGTTCCATATTCTAGAGAATATTTTTCGTAAATTACCTCACCTGAAAAATAAGAGATATCAAAGTTCAGGTATAATGTAACACAGAAAACTGCATTATGAGCATCGCAACTAGTAGCTCAAATTGATAAAGTGCGCGTTTTGTACAAATCACTGTTAAAAATCATTGGCACGCGAGAAAAACTTAACACGGTGTGAAAACTTTCAGCTTAGTCTCAGATGAACATAACCTACTTCACTTAAGAATATGCACCTTAAGATAAACTGTTGTAAAATCCATATCATATATGTAGTAGCTATGAAACACGGATACTCAGAACACGACCCTGACACTGAAATAACAACACCAGTAAATCGAACTATTGAAGTAGTCATTTTTTACCGAGTTTTCAGAATTGAAACCATGACTCAAATTGAAAATCCTGATGTAACAAATAGTACTAACATGTTGATAAATTAGCTTTAATCCAGAAAGCGGTTATTAAAAGAAACAGCAGAAGAAAAAAAAGGTAGTATTATATAAAAGTGAACATGTGAATTTTCAAAAAGAAAAAAATGTTTCAAGCAGTAAAGAACGTCACATTTCAAAACAAGTCAACTTAACCTAACTTTTTTCAAAATGAACTCAACAAAATCTTGGAACAATTTCATCATCATTATCACAAGATATTTCGTGATGCTCATAGTGATTCAAGTTTAGAAGCAAGTTCCACCAAAACAACACTCAACATACCCGGCAGCTTCCGAGGTTTGCGTAAAGGAACAAACTTTGCACCAATACCTAACGCAACAGAGGAACCAAACACAAAACCTCGTGCTTCAATTCCTGCAACAAACCAAACCACATAAACAAAAATAAAATCCAAATTTTTTTAAAAAATATTTTTCTAAAAAAAGAAAAGTGCGTGTGTGTGTGCATGAGTAAAGAAAGTAGTAGTACCAGCAACAACTGAAATGTGCATGTCTCTGTAACGATCGACAAAAATATCGACAGTATCTTTAAACGCCTTGTGATCTAACAACAATGTCGTTATGTCTTGAAACATTATTCCTGCAAATTTTACCACTTTCTGTAAATTTTATTTATAAAAAAAAACAAACAAACTCAACCTATAAAAATGGAGAGTTTTAGATCTAGAAGAAGAGATTAAAAGAGAACCGTTTTTGGGGAAGTGAGGGACGACTCTGATGGATTGAGAGATGTGTTGCAATCTAGGGTCACCTTTGAGACCATTTTCTTCAGCAAACATTTTTTGGTTTTTTAGTTAGTGTTTCCCTCCGAAAGTGTGAGATTTTATTCTAGTTGTGTTGTGTTATGGGGTGAGTTTGGAGTGAGTTTGAAGAATGAGTTAGAGTTTGGAAGTACTTGGTAATGGGTACTTTGTTTTTGAGCTATATTTATTACTATTGTTTCAAGCACCTTTCGTCACTCCAACCCCACCACGGCACATTCCAACATTACTGCTCGCCCCACGCGACTTTCCCTCATTATGTCACACGCCCCACTTTTTTTCCCACCATCAATATCATCAATATCTAATTCATTGATCTTATTTGAATGTTAGTTCTCTCCTTAAACTCATTTTGTAATAAAAATGTATTGTATAATTTTTTTATCTGGACACTTTTCTAACCTTAAAAATGTATTGTATAATTTTTTTAATAAAAATTATAAATTTTATTGTAGAAAAATATATGTGTTTAGGTTGCGTTATGACCATGATATATATTAGTTGTTTTTGAGGTTTAATTTTTAGAATAAGTTATCGGATATTTGTAAATATACAGTATTAAGAATATTTGTATATAGAATAGTCTCATATCAAGTATATTATGTAATTAATTATAATCTCTCTCTATATAATATAGTCTCAGTAGAGCTTTTCAAAATACATGTTTATTCAAATATCTCTTAATCTCTTGTATTTTAACATGGTATGCAGAGCCTACCGAGAGACAACCCTTCACCATGCTTTATCCAGTTAAGAAACAGTCTTTCGATGAGAAATGGCAAATCGTCATAACTCCAGTTTGCCTTCCATACACTGTCGTGACTCATCCCGACGATTTTCCCATTGCCTCATTCACCATCATGCAATTGTTTAAAAGTCGGTCTCTGATTTTATTTTCCACTTGCAGAAAACTCTGATTCAGATCAAACAGAGACTTTTTCACCTGATTCGTGTGATATTTTCTCTCTTCAGACACTCATAGCTACTCCTTAGAACTTTACGCCAAACTATGATTTTCTTATGTGGTATCAGAATTATCATAACTCAGATTCTACTATTTTGGTAGCACGCGCGGGTAATTCATATGTTGTCTTCTCTCAATTGTCTTCTCTTGGACCTTGGATCCTTAATTTCGGTGTGTCTGATCATGTTACCAGTAATAAAAATCTTTTCTTTTCCCTCTATACCTTTGGTTTCTTACCTATTATAACTTCTGTTAATATTTCTCAAATCTGATCTGAAGGGATTGATACTGATCAAATTCTACCTTTTCTCTATGTTACTTCAGTCTTCCATGTACCTAATTGTCCATTTAATTAACTTTCAGTAAGTTGTTTAACTCGTTCTCAGAATTATAGTGTCACCTTCATTAATAGTAATGTTACCCTGCAGGATCAGAGTTCAAGACGGACGATTGGCGTCAGATGTGCGTCTCAAGGCCTTTATTACCTCTCAGTATCTTCTCATGTATGCTCTATCAAAAATTCTCCACTCACTATCCACACTTGCTGACAATTTCCCAATCGAGTCAATAAACGAGCTTCGTGCCCTTTTACTTTAGTTCACACCGATGTTTGGGGTCCCTCACATATTGTGTCTACTCTTGAGTCTAGGTATTTTGTCACCTTTATTGATAACTTTTGACATTGCATGTGATTACTTTTAATGAAGAATATATTTGAATTATTTTCTACTTTGGAACAATTTTATCGAGAAATAAGAACTCAATATAGTGTGTCTATCAATACCTTAAAAAATGGCAATGCCTGTGAATACTTATCATAACAATTTCAAAATTTTATGGCACTAAATAATATTCGCCATCAAACATATTTTCCTCACACACCTTAACAAAACAAGATAATCGAACGTAAAGCATCTCGTTGAAACCACTCGGACCTGATGCGTCCGCAAGTGCACGGAAATATCGAAGTTATAAAAAGATTTGTCGAACCCACATAGACCAATGTCAACCTACCGTTATCTATTGTCGCGGCGTAAAGCTAAGGCTAATGGAATTAGGAAAGTTAAATGCGAATGAAATTAAATTTAAAGGAAATAAAGGTTATTGGTTTAAGGAAGAGCGGTAAAGGGATATCGGTATGTAATGCTTTAGTTTTCGGGGATTCGACAGTCCGCCGGTGCTTTTTAGTCTTTGCAAACACTTTTCAGGAGAAAATACTCATTTAAAGACCTTTGCCTCACGATGGTTGTTGACTCGGGTCATAATTCTAAGGCAGAATGTACGCTCTCGCAGTCCCATTCGGGGTTTAAATTACTCTTTGAAAACAAATACATTCTGATTTCTTTTAAAGCGTTTTCGCTGTGTTTAAAACTAATGCCTAGTTTTTACTATCCGGTTTAAACCCCCGCTTTCGCATGTCGGCTCGTGCCTTAATGAATTTCTCACTTTCATGGCAAAACTACTGTAAATAATTTCTTACTTTCGCGACGAAGGTTTATTTAGAAGATTTTGGTTAAAAACTACGGCCAGAAAGGTGTTTGAAAAAAAGGAAGAGCACCGGTTATTATCGAATCTCGTCTTACTAGTTTATTACATACCGATAAAACTAATTTAGCTAGACATGATAACTAATGCAAACGGAAATAAACATAAACAGCAAAATAATAAAACATGCATTATGACAGAAAATAAAGTAATAATTCAATTAATAAGAACCTGGAAAGTAGTACTGAAATTGAAGAGTAGTCCTCCACAATGTCGGTAGGATTCTACTTTGACGAAATAAAATTACAGAAAGAAATTACAATGTTCTGAACTAAAGGAAAAAAAAGGAAGAAAATAAAAGAAACAAGAAAAATAGCTTCAATAGAACTTTGGCAGCCCTTCGGGACGTAGAACACACCCCCTTGGTTCTGTAAATCTCTGGCCTATTTATAGGAGATATTTCATTTCTCAACTTCCAGAGATCATACATGAGTTATGGAGGAAGTGGGGGTAACTTCCTGTAGTGGGCAATTAGTGGAGAAAGTGTAGGAAGAAAGTAAGTTGAACGTGCTCGTGGCCACTTCGATTTTTGCACGTTCCTGATATTGGATGCATGACAACCGTAATGGAACTGTGACGATCGTGATGGTCGTGATGAGCGTGATAGAGCATGACGACTGTGATGGTCATGACGGGCGTCATGGAGCTGTGATGAGCGTCACACTCACAAAATCTGTTTTTCTTCTCTAGTTATTTCTTTCTTCTTTCTTTTCCTTCCATTTCTTCTTCTTTTCTTTCTTTAATCCAAATTCTCCATAATCTGCAAAACATAGTAAATTAACCTTATAATAGAACATAAATCAAGATAAATTAATAATAATCGCAAATAAATTCATGTAAATTGAGTCAAATAAACGATATACTTTCGCGTCATCAAATACCCCCACACTTAAACCATTGCTTGTCCTCAAGCAATCAACCAAAACGGTAAAAAGAAATAAGCATAATTTAAAAGAAAGACATGGTGAGACTTTAATCATACGTGGCTGCTAGGCTAATGTTAGATCAATAGGTACTAAATATCAATACCAAGGATACCGTAGCGACACATTTTCAAAAACTCCCTGTTTATGCAGATCAACCGGAATCATGCCATTATAACTCAACCTATATCTCATGCTTTCTTTCACCCCGTTTCATTCTAGTGCAATCATATTAAGCCCGTTATCCTTACACATTCATGGCAAGTAAACCTGTTAGTGACTATGATCTCATTGTTATTTCACTTTCTCTGCAATATGCTTACACATCGATTGAACTTAAAGAGTTTGTACCATTGGGCTAAGTGATCGGGTGAGGAGCACCTAACTTAGAAGGAACATGTCATTTTATTCATAACTTTTTTTCTTTCTTAATTTCTTATTTTAAACCAGAGATCATACACTTATTTGCATCAGTTTCTTACTTAGTGTGTTTAGGATGGTGTTGACTGCTTAAATAAACTACTTAGGGATTACTAAAAGAAACTGGAGCTTTAAGGTTTCGGCATAATGGGGACTCAAATTGATTTTGCATATTTAGGGGGTTAAGGGTGTCAGGATGATATCGATTTTATCAAAATTTTCCCAAGTTTTTCTAACATAGCATGAACAGCCTATATACTCTTAGAGTATCATGTCATGAATCGAAGCAAAAATTGTTGGAGGTTAAAATTTTGAAAGTTTGAAATTATGGGGAAATTGAATAACAAGCGAAAACCATGCATAAAGACTCGACAGCACATGCAAAGACTTTGACATAACGTTAAAAATAGATAAAATTCCTAAAAGTATGAAATAAAATGTAAAACAATAAATCAAACTAAAAAGCGATAAAATGAAAGCGGTAGAGTTCCTCTCCCACACTTAAACCAAACATTGTCCTCAATGTTTTAGTAAAATGTGGAAAAAGGAAAGATAGAACCTGTATGAATGCTACTGCGTGCCAAATCCTCTATGATCCTGGTCTTGATGTCCATGTCTTTGTTGATCATTTCTACTTCGGCGGCGGGCATTTTGAGATACCTTTGTTTGTGTAACTCTAGAACTTTCGCCTAGATGTGGCTAAAACGTGGCAAGCGATATATATTTCTTTATTGTCTGCAAATTTAAACAAATAAATTAAAATAAAGACCTTGTAGGCTGCCTCCCACACAATGCTTTGTTTAGCGTCGATAGCTCGACGGCCAAGGAGTGCAAGTACTCATGGTGGTTCTTTCAAGAATGGCTCCTCAATCGAACTTTGAATAGTCTTCGGTTTCCATGGCCACTTATCAAGCCATCTCTCATATTCCTCACCTTTTCTTTTCTTTCTTCTGTAGGGTGGTTCATTGTTTTGAACTTGTGGTGGTGGTTCTGGATCTATCCTGAGTATCAGTTTTTCAAATTTGGGCTTAGTCATTTCATCCACCACCCCAAAGGTTAATCTTACCCTTTTAACAGTAATGATGACCCTAGTTTCATGGTCCTCGAATTTTCTTTTCTTATGAAGGGCCTTAGACAATGGTGCATCGGTGTGGATATTTTCCAAT